TCCTTGAATGTCCATTTGAACTGCAAAACTAATCCAACCATGAGGACTGCATGTGTCTGCCAGCGCATGTTTTCAGAGCTCAGAAACTGCTGAACGTGCACTTTGAATGATGACTGATCTTTTGGAGTCCCCTTTTTTGGCTCGACTTGTCTTAAGACACGCCCGTGATTTGATCCCGATGGTCACGGCATGTCAGTGGAACACGACACCGATGAGCTTGTGGGGCTGGGGGGTGGGTTATGGGGGGGTCACACGAATGACGCCCTAATTTGGAGCTCTCTTCTTTTTGGACTAGGACATGTCATTGTTGTCAAATTTTCCTGTGACGTGTCACATTTCGAAGCTTTTTCGGATCCAGCGGTAGGCAGAGTCTCGTCGCTCTGCCTCATTTCGATGTGTTCTCCCGTTTTTTTTTTTTGTTTGTTTTTGCCTGGTCCTCAGCCCCCCCACCCCCCTTGCACTCCTCCCCTGCACTCCCTCACACCCAACCTCCAGTCCCACTCATGCACACTGCGGCCTCTCTTTCTCCCGAGTACCGCAAGGAGTAACCTATCAAGCCTTTGCTGAAGGATGTTATAAATGAAAATTTTTGCCAATATTCCGTCCACTTTGCTTACTGGGCTCAGTGATATGTGTTCCCCGGCATGTCCAATAATATGAGTGTAAAGCTTTCTTGATGTACGGTGTCCTCGAGGGTCTCGAAAGGCACTTTCCATTAAAATGTCCTCTTATTATTATTATCGTTAAATTCAACACATAAATACTTGTGTGTGTGAGTGTGTGCGCGCGTAGTGTAGAGATAACTATTTTTCAAAATGGTGTCATGAGTACTTTTAAATACATTAACAGAAGGACTCGAGGAGTCTTATTTCACTTTTGAAATGGCCACTTATTCACTAGATTCCTGAGGGATGAGACTCTCAATTTTCAAGCCAAATCCCGAATGATTTGGCCTATACTCAACCGCGAATGAGTACGACTGACTCAATGCGAGGACCTTAGAATGGCAAGTCAGACTCGGAGCTCTCACAGGTCGTAGCTTAGAACATATCCGCCTTTATTTATAGTGGGACACAAATCATTGGTTCAGTTCCAAAGGGTGATCAAGGAATCTATCAATTTTGCATTTACAAGATCCTGCAACGAAGGCGTTGTAAGTTACTCTTTCTGGGCACCGCAGGTTCGAGCAGCACTGACGTTAAGGAAAACCGAAACCTGGACAACGTGTCCTGCAAAGAAGGGGTGGGCGTGGCCGAGCAGCTCCCCAATGGAAGCGGCCCGGGCGCTCGAAAGCGCCCCCTGGAGGAGGGAAACAATGGTCACGCTCACTCCAAGTTCCGAGCCAAGAAGCGCAAGAAAACTCCCGGGCCCATCCTGCCCAAGAACGCCCTGATGCAGCTCAATGAGATCAAACCGGGTCTGCAGTACAAACTGCTGTCGCAGACCGGACCGGTCCACGCGCCGGTTTTCGTCATGACCGTCGAGGTCAACGGGCAGACCTTTGAGGGCATGGGCCCGACCAAGAAGAAGGCCAAGTTGAACGCGGCGGAGAAAGCGCTGCGTTCCTTCGTGCAGTTCCCCAACGCCTCGGAGGCGCACCTGGCCATGGGCCGAACGCTGACCGTCAACACGGACTTCACCTCCGACCAGGCCGATTTCCCGGACATGCTCTTCAACGGCTTTGAGACGCCGGCCACGCCCGAGGAGTCCTTCTATGTGGGCTCCAACGGCAGCGGCGCTTTAAACTCCCTCGGGGAGTACCCGCTGCCCGCGCCGCCCGGCGGCAACCTCGCCCAGGCGCCGCTGCCCCCTCCGTCGGCCTTCGGCTCCCCCACCAGCGGCAAAAACCCCGTCATGATCCTCAATGAACTCAGGCCGGGCCTCAAATACGACTTTGTGTCCGAGAGCGGCGAGAGTCACGCCAAGAATTTTGTCATGTCGGTGACGGTGGACGCGCAGACGTTTGAAGGCTCGGGCCGCAACAAGAAGCTCGCCAAGGCCCGGGCGGCGCAGGCCGCTCTCTCGGCTCTCTTCAACATGCAGCTCGACCAGACGCCGTCCAGGCAGCCCATACCCAGAGAGGGACTGCAGCTCCACCTCCCGCAGGTAAAACGGCCTCTCGTCGGCCTTTGTCACGCTCGCCAAGAGCTCGCGTTGCGACGACTCTCCTCGGGAATGAAAACAACGCTCGTATTAAAGCCGCGGGGGTGGGGGAATCCTCGGTTTACGAGGAGGTTCAGATCCTATGGTGGCGACGTTACCCAAATTTCGCGTTTGCCGCGTGCGGTAGACCAAACTATGGCCCGGGGGCCATTCGCGGCCCACCATCCAATTTTCAGCGGCCCGCGACATGAAAAAAATATATAAAAATGACATTTGACAAGGGCTGAAAGGTTAGTTTAAAAAAAGGCAAAGATGACCTTGAGAAAGGCCTAGAACTACAAATTTAGGATTAAAAGAATAACACAACTTATCTATGGATCACTGTAGTGAATGAAGATAATTCAAAATAGTTTGTTCCACTTTGTTGTGCTCTACGGCTGATTTCAGAATACAGCACCTTTTATGATCCTCAACACGTTAATTTACTCTGGGGGGAGTGGAAATGGAAGCACTAAATCACTTTTGGCCATCAAGACCTGTTGTGTAAATCCAAGGCGAGAAATTTTAAGGGAGGCGGTTTGATTGCCTTTATTTGTATGTTGAGTCGGCTGGGAAATCAGCTGCCCGAGTCATACGTCATGGCCCACTTATCTGTTTGTTTTTTTTGTCCTTTTTATTTTTATTTACATTCTTTTTTTTTTTTTTTTTTTTTTTTTTAAACAATTGGAGCAATTCACACCAGTCGTCTTCCCATTAAAGCAGAGTCGTGGGAGCCAATGTTGTAGATGAGCCTTGGGTGACGTCTCACTCTTCCTACTTGGTTATCGTTAACCATTTTGCTCAATTAACCCTTTGGGTGCATTCACGGTATGCGAGAAAGTATTCCTTCAAAGAATGCATTGAATCAAGAATTTTTTTTTTTTGTTACGTCAATAACCTTGTCACTTGAAAGGTAGAGGACCCTCGGCTACCAGCGGGTGAGTCCCACGTAGCGGCAAAGTCACATTTGAAGAATCTCATTAATTTGTGTCCATCCATCTGTCGTCGTCTCTCGTCTTGGTTAGCGTCATTTTCGATCACATGAGCCAGCGAGTAAAGCGCTGAGCCAGAGAAAAGTGGCCGTCAAAAGAACACAGGATGGATGTTCGCTTGAGCTTGAACGGCCATCGGCTTTTTTTTTCTGTCGAATCAAGCACATTTTTTTTTTTTCTCCCCAGAGCTTCTCTGCCACGTCTTCGTGCACTCTTGCGCGGAGCTCCGTCGTCCACGTCTTCAAAACGCGTTGCCCTTGATTCTGATTTGAGTTTGGGGAAGAGGAATTGTGAAGCAGCCGCAATAAGCTATTATTACGGTTTTAATACATAACGCAAAAAAATCTGCAAAGCAGAGAACAATCACTTGCGCGCGCGAAATTTCGTAGTCGGACAATAAATGCCTTCAAAAAAAAAAAAAATTAAAAATCAATCTTCAATTTCCTCGGGCAGGCCAACCAGTATCGTGTGGCGACACTGCAAAACTTGTTGTTTTTTTTTTCCATCACCGTTGCCAACTTTCTGGCTCTTGTGACAGGCGCCGCTGCCCCGGGCGGGTTCACATCAGACATGTTTCATAGGCTGTCGGATTTGACACTACTTGCCTTGTGTGTCATTGTGCGTGCGCTTGTGCGCGCACGCGCTCGTGATTGCAGGTTCTCGCCGACGCCGTCTCTCGACTGGTGGTGGATAAGTTTAGCGAACTGACGGACAACTTCACCTCCCCCCATGCGCGGCGGAAAGTCCTGGCTGGAGTCGTCATGACAACAGGTAGATGACTTTGCGCGTCATCGAAAGTCTGTAGTCATAAGCGGACGTGCCCGCTTGTGTGTTTTCGACCACAAAATGGTCGGAAAGAGTTGACGCCGCTCGGATTTGCTCTTCCGACCAGGAACGGACGTCAAGGAGGCGCAGGTCATTTGCGTTTCGTCGGGGACCAAATGCATCAACGGTGAGTACATGAGCGACCGCGGCCTGGCCCTCAACGACTGCCACGCCGAGATCATCGCCCGACGCTCGCTCATGAGGTACCTCTACATCCAGCTGGAGTTCTTCCTCAGGTCAGGGCGCGCACGCGAGTGCAATTTCCGCATGACGTCAAAGACGTTTTGTACGCGACTGACAATTGATGTTTTGTCCGTTGCCGTAGCAGCAGCAGAGAAGAGCATCAGAAATCCATCTTCGTGCCGTGTGACAAAGGAGGCTACAAGTTAAAGGACAACATTCAGTTCCACCTCTACATCAGCACCTCGCCCTGCGGAGACGCCCGGATCTTTTCCCCGCACGAGGCCGGCGTGGAAGGTCAAAGAAAATGTGACAATATTGTTTCTTTTAGTGCAGGGGTGTCAAACTCATTTTAATTACGTCTTCCCTCGGAGGGCCGCGATGACAGTGAATCCACAAAATTATGATTTGTCCACAACAAATTAACAGATCGCTAGTTTTGAAATCAGTCACGTCAATTCTAACAGTTTGTTCAATTATTGTTCAAGTGAGTGTCACAAAATTATTGCAAAATCTCAACGTTATTTGTTACACATGACAATTTGACATTTCGGGACACATTTTAACAAACTGACACACATGATTTGCTTTTGCGGGCCACATAAAATGACCTGGCGGGCCAGATCTGGCCCCCAGGCCTTGATTTTGGCATCTATGTTTTAGTGCAATATATTTTCACGGGTAAAATTGTCTTGTTGACAATTAATTTAGAATTGATGAACCCATTTATTTTTTTAGCGGTGCAACAATCAACCATTGAATTGACAACTAATCGATTGTCATTCTTATTTCAGGAAGAAAAGTAGCACAATGGGCTCTTTTAGACCCGGTGGGCCGCACTTTGCTGGACCCAAGTGGCGTGTTTACAATGCGCCCTCGTTGAAATCTTTCAGATTGCGTCTTCCGCAGGGTTCGCATTTAATTAGAAATTTGCCACGACGTCCTAATAGGCATTCAACACGTTCATGAAGAATGAGCACTTTTGTTAGTCTGCGCCTATCGAGTCTTTTCCCCAGTTGCCCCCCCACCCCTGCCCCCCTCACTGTCGGACTCATTAACCCCCCTCTTATTTAGTTAGTGTTTTCCCGTCGCACGCGCCAGCCTGAATGGGAGAACCGCTTGCACATTCAATTAGCCGATGAATACGTGCCATAGGAAACATTGAGAACCAAATATTGTTGCCATTTTATTCCAACAGCCTATTTATGTTTTGACTTCACATCATTCTTTGCTGAATGTCCTTCAATAGCAAATGCAACAAGGCGGTTGGGTGTTGGGGGAGGTGGGTGGGTGGATGGGGGGGGGACGGGGTGGCTGTCAATCATGAATGTATGATAGACTCCGGTCGACGGGAGCCAGCCAAACCCGCGTCAGTGGAAGTTGTCATTTGTACGTGCGAGCAGATGCTTTCTAATTGGTTGCCAGTTTCCCACCTTTAGTGCAGAGCAGCGCACCTCGCGCGTGCGCGCTCTCGCCTTGCTGCTAACACAAGCCAATTGCTGGTGTGTTTCATTGGCTGGGAGCTCATTTAATTGGGCAGTTCAAAGCTGTCAAAAGGACACTTTTTTTTTCTTGGTTGCCGCTTGATAGGGTGGGGGGGGGAATTCTTTCACTGGAAAAACAGCGTTCCGCAGGGGTTACTTGGAAAGAAAGTAGACTTCAATAAAAACGTGACATCATTGTTAAAAAAAAAAAAAGGCAATTTTTTTTTTTTTTTGACAGCAGCAATCAAAACGCAAAATTCCTAACCATGGGGCATAGATCTCTTGTAACGAACTGGGCATAAAAATGAAAGTGAATTTTCTGTGAGTCCAGTATGTGGCTCTGGAGCCAGGCGCCGTGTTCGTTTGCTTCTTGTAACATGCAACCTTTTCCTCCTTTCGACTCGGTGGCCTCAGACCAAGGAGACCGACACCCCAATCGGAAAGCGAGAGGTCAGCTTCGGACCAAGATCGAGTCCGGCGAGGGCACCATCCCCGTCAGGTCCAGTAACACCATCCAAACGTGGGACGGGGTCCTCCAGGGAGAGCGGCTACTCACCATGTCCTGCAGTGACAAGATTGCCAGGTCATTCTCCTTCCCGAGTTCACTTCAGATCAATTCCTCTCTGACCTTGATGGAAGAGTCCTCGCTCGACACTTTTATGCTACGAGTCATATGGTGTGTGTGTGTGTGTGGGGGGGAGAACTCTATTTATTTATTTATTTTGCGGAATTCCATATTTTGACTGCACTCGTTCTGCCATTGGTATTCTCTTTGCCGAGCCTGCACCTGTTTCATATTTGATTTGATATCGTGAAAGACGACCATTGTTATCCCAGAGAGCCTTCGATACGCAAATCGTGGCTCATGTGAAAAGTCACATTTCTGAAAAAGAGGCAAAATTAGCGGTAAAAATAGCTGACGACCAAAGCACAGACGCTACCGCAGAAATACATGTTAAGTTGGTCATCGTCGGGGTCTCCTTTTTGTTTTGGCCCTCTAAATTCTCATTTTTTTTCACCGGGTGTCCGGGACGACGAGCACACTGATGGACTGAGTCGTCCTTCCGATATATCGGGCGCGCCGACCAGGGGGGTCTTTAGTCTCTGCCAGCGTTCAAGGCGACCGTGTGCCACGCTCGTGATGAAGGGAGGCGGCCCGTCGCCAAGCAAACAATCCAAGTTCTCCATAACTCTTCTCCGGGATGGTAATACCTTGCCTCAGTGCACCGAATGATTGGACGCCAAGCGTGCGCTTGATGAAGGACACGTCTGCTGTGTTAGCGGCCGCCTTGTTCGTGGCCTCTTTTTTTGTTTTTTTTTTTTCCTTGGGCACAGTGTGTCTGCGCGCCGTTCCTCCAGCTTGTTGTACTCGTGTTATCGATTTCACTTTTTTTTTTTTTTTCTGTCGCCGTTGTCGAAGGTGGGGGGATCTAAGTCAGTAGAGGGCAAAATAGCTTTGCAACGCTGAAATAATACCAGGAAAACAACACTCAAGGTAATGAGTCGCGATTGATTGGCTCCTTAGCTCGTGCGACGCCGTTTGCGCTTGGGAGAAGGTCGGAATCTCTTTTTGCTCGTTCTGCAGTTGGGCCTTCACTCAGGAGCTTTTTAATACGCCACGTGAAACACTTCGCCCAGCTCCATTATCTTATTTATTTCTTTGTTCTGTATTTATAAGTAATATGATGTTCTTTGGGGTGGCCCGGTGGTTAGCGCGTCGACCTTACAGTGCAGAGGTACCGGGTTCAATTCCAGCTCCGTCCGGCCTTCCTGTGTGGAGTTTGCATGTTCTCACCATGCTTGTGTGGGTTTTCTCCGGGTACTCTGGTTTCCTCCCACATTTCAAAATCATGCACGTCCGGCTGATTGAACACTCCAAATTGTGCCCGGGTGTGAGTGCGAGGCCGGATAGTTGTTCGTCTCTGTTTGCCCCTGCGATTGGCTGGCAACCGGTTCAGGGTGTCCCCCGCCTACTGCCCGAAGACGGCTGGGATAGGCCCCCCGTGACCCTTGTGAGGACAAAGCGGATCAGAAAATGGATGGATGGATGATCTTTGCGGGCAGAGGCTATTGTGCCACTTGCTGTCGACTCAAAATGACATCACAGTGCTGGGCGGGCTCAGGTAATGACCGAAAAATTTCTGCTGCTCCCTTTCCGTACCATTGCAAGCTTATTGGTATTGGAAGGTTGCAAATGTCTTCCTGAAAGAGGCGTGCTTTGTGATCAGTTGCCCCTCGGCATAGCTGTGAGCCGCACGGGCGCCCGCCACTACGTGAGAATCAAATAATATTTGTGATCTTCAATCTCACACACAGCAGTTTATCTAACTGTGTTGTCGATTGTCATGATCAATAAACAGCCCTAAAAAAATGTTTTCACCAATTTCATTTCACCAACCTGAGCAAACTTGGAACTTTAGCACGGGATCAAATAGATATTAGCCCCCACTAAATAGGAGGCAGAGTTTTGTTCTTAAACCCGTGTAAGGACCTGACTTAAATTTTTTTTTTTTTTTTTTTGAAGTCCCTTGTTCCTACTCTGCACATTTGAGTCCACACGCATTTTCTCCCTCCGAGTGAGGTGGGAGTGTGATGCTTCGCAGAGCGTGTCAATGGGAAAATGACTAGGGAGCGATGGCTAATGATACAGCACAGAAATATGGGGAATTTGGGAGAAAAAAAAAAAAAGAAATTGGATCCCTCAGTAGGATCGTGTGTGACACGTTGCCTTGGCCTGTGGCGTCATGTGCTCATTTATCGTTCACGTGTTGCCCTTCAGCGTCCATCAGCGCAACATATTTGTATCGTCTCTCCACTTTATAACCTCAAACTTGACAACGGGAATGGAATTTGCCCCCCCCCCCACCTCCAAAAAAAAAGAAAATGTTCTCACTGCAGGTCGGCTCAAGTTTGGCTCTGTAATTAGTCATGAAGCCCTGATTTTCTATTTCAGGGCACACGCGCTATTGCTTTCCAAATGACCACGAGTGAATGAAAGCATCCCCCCCCCCCCCCCCCATCGTATTTTCCCCACAATGCCAACGTGATGATTTTGGTGGTGCAGGTGGAACGTGGTGGGCATCCAGGGCTCCCTGATGAGTTACTTCACGGAGCCCATCTACTTCTCCAGCATCATCCTGGGAAGCCTCTACCACGCCGACCACCTCTCCCGAGCCATGTATCAGCGCATCGCCGATATTGAGGACCTCCCCCAGCAGTTCGCGCTCAACAGACCCTTGCTCAGTGGTGAGAAAAGGCGCTCTCTCCTCGTTAGGGGGTTCGGATATTTCCACGGCTGCCGCGCGATTGGCGGCTCCCCTGAGCTGACATTTACCTTGTGGAATTTGAACAGCGGGCGCGTATTGAGCAGAGCGTCAACCTTTGCAGAGGCTCTGATGAAGATTTGAAAACAAATAATAGGATCTTTAAAAGAACTCTTAAATGTATTGGGAGCCTGCGAAGGGATGCCAGAGTAGGAGTGATGCGCTCCCTCTTATGCGTACCAGTCAAGAGGCGAGCAGCGGCATTTTGGACCAACTGGAAATGCTTCTTGGAGGATTGGCTCACTCCAAAGTCAAGTGCGTTACAGTAATCCGGAATTATTCCGTTAAAATGTACTGCGCATGAATAAAAATGATTGCTCAGCTCACCTTGTGAAAACCGTAAATGCAGTTGTCCACAATACTTTACATTTATTGATGACAAGGGCATCTTTTTATGGGTTTTGGTTTGCAGAATTGTGAGGGAAAAATGAATTAAACATGAAAATAAGTATGATAGAAAACAGCCAAATTATGTCTGCACTAGGGATGAATTTTCTCATCAGCTGCTTGACTCTTCCATAATAGGATCTTTAAAAGAACTCTTAAATGTATTGGGAGCCTGCGAAGGGATGCCAGAGTAGGAGTGATGCGCTCCCTCTTATGCGTACCAGTCAAGAGGCGAGCAGCGGCATTTTGGACCAACTGGAAACGCTTCTTGGAGGATCGGCTCACTCCAAAGTCAAGTGCGTTACAGTAATCCGGAATTATTCCGTGAAAATGTACTGCGCATGAATAAAAATGATTGCTCAGTTCACCTTGTGAAAACCGTAAATGCAGTTGTCCACAATACTTTACATTTATTGATGACAAGGGCATCTTTTTATGGGTTTTGGTTTGCAGAATTGTGAGGGAAAAATGAATTAAACATGAAAATAAGTATGATAGAAAACAGCCAAATTATGTCTGCACTAGTGATGAATTTTCTCATCAGCTGCTTGACTCTTCCGTTCCTATTTTTGTTTTTTTGGGGGGGTGGGGGGTAGGAATAAGCAATGCGGAGGCCAGGCAGCCGGGCAAAGCGCCCAACTTCAGCGTGAACTGGACGGTGGGCGACCAGGGCCTGGAGGTGATCAACGCCACCACGGGCAAGGACGACATGGGCCGAGCCTCGCGCCTCTGCAAGCACGCCCTCTACAGCCGCTGGGTGCGCCTGCACTCCAAGGTACTCGCCCCGAAAATTGACATGCAGGCTTCCCTTCGGAATCGACGCTTTTCTACCCGTGCGCCCCCAGCAAATGCCGCACGAGTTTGTGAAGCTTGTAAGCAGATTTTATCTTTCTCTGAACGGTCTCGCCCGTCCTTCTCCCCCCCCCCCCTGCCCTCCAGCTGTCTTCTATCCTGCGGATCAAGGTGCTCAAGCCGGCCTCGTACCACGACGCCAAACAGGCGGCCGCCGAGTACCACGGGGCCAAGCAGGCGCTCATCAAGGCTTTCCACAAGGCCGGTCTGGGGGCCTGGGTCAAAAAGCCCAGCGAGCAAGACCAGTTCACTCTGGCCTCCTGAGGGAACCGCCGGACCGAGGGAATCCCAACCCGCCCCTCCCGCCTGAACCTCAGAAGATCGACCCGCGTTAGCAGCCCCTTGCCCTCCTCCCTCCCGTATATTTGCACGCACTTGCAGCTGTTAACTCGTGGAAATAAGTGTGCACAGTTCCCTGAAAAATGGGGAAAAAAAAAAATCCCAACACCCCCATCTCATCAGGGTTACTCCTTACCGGACACACCTCATGAAATTGTCTGCTTTTGACTTTTGCTTTTAACGCATGGTGGGATTCCCCATGTACTAAAACTGGAATCCATGCAACTTTTATTTAATTTTTTTTTTAATGTGGGAGACAAAAGAAAGCGTAAGTTGATCTTTTCTTTTCCACGGTGCGTTTTATGTTGGGGTGCTGCATGTAGTCAGTTCAGGGTTTGCCCCGAGACGCCAGCGACCGTAAAATCGAGTTTGTCTTGTAAACAAGCTCACGTAGGCTGCGAAATTCAAAATCCAGTCGTAATTCGTCATTTGGATCCTAGCTATGTGATAAGTTATGCTCACAACTTTTGGAGAAAAAGGGTGTTTTATTTGAAGTTTTTTTTTTTTTCTTTTTTTAAGATTGACATTCATGTGTACTTCAACATTCCTTATTGTCGCGCTCGTGAATGGACGTGCGGATGTTGACTCGAGCTGCTCGCGGTCTCGGTAGTCCCGGCCTGGGTCTTGCCTGGTGGTCCGGAGGAAGTCGATTTTCATTTGCATGGGCGGACCCGCACGGCAGAACGCAACGCAACGCAACGCATGCAGAGAAAGAAAGAATAGGAAGCGTGTGCGTGTGAATGAATGCCAGCATCTTCCTCCACAGGCAGCTTTTAATCTGTGTCTCTTTTCTACATTTCTGCTGTCGGTTTTTTGGGTTGACGGGGAAGAAGTCGCTTTTGTTTTCATAACGGTGGGCTTTTTGTAGATTCTGGATTCTACTAACAAAAAAACAAAACAAAAGACTAGAGCCCAGCTGATCCAGGATTTTTTTTTTTGGGGGGGGGGTTGGACAGAATACTGATGCAGATATTTGTTTAAAAAAAACAACAAAAAAACAAAAAACAGCACTATGGAGCTAACAGCTGATATTTTTATGTAAGAGTTTGAAGGTACACACGTACTGTCGGTGAAATGTATTTAAGAAGTACTCACTATGCAAAATGGCCCGTTCCAGTGTTGTATTTATCGTATGCTAGTTGTTGACGTAGGCGTCATTTGTAAATGTTGTCACTTTGGACTCCACGCTCGAGAATTTAGTCAGGTGACACGTTTGGGGCGTAGAACACTCCCCCCGAGTTTCACCGACCCGAACCGCTTCTGGTCACACGATGTCCTACTAAATTCTCAAGTCGCAGCTGACTCGTTAAGATGGCAGACCTACGATTTCGACAAGAGCTGCGACTGTTTTGCTGTTCCTCTTTGGTCCTGTAGGTGTCAGTAACCGGTCGGTGCTTGAGAGGAGGTTTTCTTTTTTTTTTTTTTTTTTTTTTTTTTTTTTTGACAGGCTCCAGTCAAGATTTGCACAGTGCCATTTGCCAGCTTTAATTCAGGCCACTTAATTGTCAACCTGTGCGTGTTGCAACTCGGAGAAGAAGGACATTACGGTGACCATAAAGCAATGCCGATAACTGGGACGAATTTTGAGTCAGGTTCCTCTTTTGGATCAGAGGGTTAGCAAAGGCCTGATTGTCGGATAGAATATGTGGACCGATTATCCTGTGGTGTGCAAAGAGTGGTTTTTTTTTTTTTTTTGGTCTGTTTGTTTCAAAAAACAAGTTACGGCTGACGATGTGAAACCTTAAGCATGTTCGATATCTACAATCGCAAATTCGTGAGTTGGACCAAACCTTGGAGTCGGCAACCACTGCAAATCAGGCTCAAAGTCATCCCAGTTACCCTCGCAACTGAATCCAATCAAGTCAATTGGCGTTCCTGCTCAGTGATTGCACGTGTGGGGGGTGCTCAGGTTGCATTACGCACACTCTGGAATCTCCGCCAAAGATGATGTCGACTTGCGTGTGTCATCTCAACATTGTTGATTATTCTCACGCTGCTCGTTTTCATTGGGAGGGGAAATAAGACGATAGTCATTGAATTTGAATTGATAGGAAACCCTTCCTCCGATTCACGAGCGACAGGCAGCAGGCTAGCCCGTCAATCGCGAAAATCCGCGTATAATTGAAATGTGTTCGGGGGGCTTTTTTTTTCTTAATTTGACACACCACAAAACAGTAGTTAGCAACCCTACCAAATTTGAATTGCAACAAAAAACTGCCAAGTACATATAATGATGCCGTTCTCTCCGCTCTTGTCCGCTGTGGGCGTGGCTGCCAAATACGCTGAAACCACGCCCCTCTCCCATCTCGCTCGAGTACCACTGCTACAACTTGTCGCTGGAATCCATCCCACCGCGTTGGTCAACACCCAGCAACGAGGCACTCTAGAGCAGCCATGCCAGATTGAAGCCCCGGCCCACAAGCTAACAAAATTCCCTCCCTCTTTGCTCATCAGGCTAATGTCAGCGATGTGTCTGCGCTCACAGCAAACAATAAGTCGCTCTAAAGCAGCCATTGTCATGGAAGTGCGCATGGACATGCAGCAAAGCCTCTTGATCATTTCCGCTAACTACCCAGGCTAAACTTCTCTCCTCCCCTTGAATAAGAGGATACTAATCGCTCAGTCGACATGTATCAAGTCAACATACTTCCTTGACACCAATGCCAGTGTTAACCAGGGCTTTGGCGCCATCTTGTGGTATGTCAGAAAGCGCGCACAAACTACAAATGGGTGTTTTGCTTTCCGGGCTAAATGAGGGAAAGATGCGAACAGGCGGGGCTTCACTGTGATGTCATCAAGTTTGAAAACAACAGTCGGGCATCTGTCGAGCATTTTCGAACCCGCCCTCAAGATCACTGAATGACTTTGTTTTTGTAAATAGTCAACAGCTAATTCTGTTGCCATACCTTGGAAGCCCTTCAATTTTTACTTTTTTTTTTTTCTTCTTTCCGGATTGCGCTGCGGCAGTTGCAGGCTTCATCCTCA